GCTGCCCGCCTCGCCGGTGACTTCGCGTGCGCCGCTCTCCAGTCTAGTGTAGTGTCAACTTGAAGCCGCTTCAAGCGATGCGGATGGACAATACTGAGTTCTGTAATTTAAAAAAATAAACGTCAAATAAATGTCAAAGTGCGGACTAGTCAAATCAGTGAAGGCCAAAATGTGTTTGTTTTAAGATTGATGTATAGATGTAAGATTTTTTTTTTGTTAGGTTATTAGTAAATGTAACGTACAAATGTTGTTCATGTATATTATTGTACATAGAGAATGTTTTAATTAAAATAAAATCTTCATGTATTTATTCTATTTAAGCTAGTTAATTAATATTGTAAATAGTTTAATAGCAATTCGAAGAACTGAGTCTGCTTCTTTGAATGTCGATGTTATATCGACGATTTAATTATGAATAAAAATTGCTCATTGCATTTTAAATATCTAAGTAAACCACATTATTAGTTGTTTAATTTTGAAGAGTATTACATATCATGTTTTATTATATGACAAAGATGTTATTAAAAGTAACGTAACGATATAAAGCATCAAAGATTTAACGCTAATTCTTTTAAATTGAAATTTATAATAAATATTTATTACATACTAAAATATCATTTTAATAAATTCGAATAATCAAATACCATTTGAATGGGGAAATTTTTCAAACATGGCAACATTACATAATGTCATTTTTAAGAGATTAGTGTTGCGCCAAATGTGTAATATCTTTTTGTAAATAAAAAATTAATATTTGTCTTTGGATAAGCTCGCTCTATTGAAAATTGAGAAACTACCTACATATTTTGAGGTTATTATGCGTACAATGGCTAGACTTTATGATGCTTAATTCTAAATGTTCATGTTATTTATTCATAGTAGTTGACAGATCTTTGATTCTAATAAAATGATCTAAATTGCATTGTAATATTATGCTGAAGTAAGGCCGATGAATAAAAGAATTATGAAAATAAAAGATTTTTATTATATCCAGGAATAATTCCTTTTTATAACTATTGATTTAAATTAACTAATGCTGAGTTGCCGAAGTTTCCATTTGTTTGATCGTTAGCTAGTGAGTCATTAGTGTTAGGATAAACTAAATTTTAACGGAGTAAAACTCAAGTAGTTCAGAAACGCATTTCAAGAATTCATTGAACCAAAAACTAACGAATGGATAAACGTAGCTAGGAAACTGGCCATAACTATGTTAGAAATTTCTATATCAAAAAATTAGATTACTTTATTTTATAGGTAAAAGCATACTTACACTGTGAAAAATATCAACGCTTAAACAATAACTTAAGCCACTTAAGTTTAGTTCAATCTCTAAAAATAGCTAATAGCCTAAAAGAACTTATTTGCTAGGAATAATTTTAAATCCCACTCGACACTCAAGTTTTGTTATAACTGAATAGTCGTAGTTTTCTGTTTAATTAAAATTGTCCCTTATAGCTAAGTGTGTAGCAGGCTTTAAAATAGTTTATTTATACATTTATCGAGCTTTATCAGAGGGTGGACTAAACGCAAGCACGCGTTAGACGTTAGACGTGTTCCCGCCACTTCCGGTGTTTCCGGCCGACACCGCAGACTTCCGGACAGGAAAACGAGGGTAGTTTTACAAACGGATTATATCTCAATTTATGAATAATATGAAACTAATTTTACGCATGTTTTCCGGATTTATAAGTTGGTACTTCAGTTTTCTTCAAGCATTTTATGAAGTAAATAGCTTTTTCACGCGACTCCGTGGAATTAAAAAAAAACAAAAGCGAGTAGTCTATGTGTTCTTCCACACTATCCTCTACATCTATACCAAATTTCATCGAAATCCGTTTAGCCGTTTAGGCTACAAACTCTAACAAACATCCATACATCCATCCATTCGTCTAAACTTTCGCATTTATAATATTAGTATGAAGTATGATATCACTAGTGCTATGTCGATGGTGATATGTCACTATTCTAAATATATTTAGAAAGGAGGAGGAGGACATCTTATTTCTTCGTTACAATTTTTTTTACTCTACATTGTTACATTTTTGTACGGTGGTTAAGTTTCCTTTTGAATGCATCGTTTTTAATTCGAATTTAGTTTTAAAAACTTTCAAGAACAACAAAGATCCTAATCAGGGATAGTGTAATTAAAATTTCTGTGACTAAACCAAATACAGACACGAGTCCGCTAAATCAAAATAACTTATTATTATAACAAAAAAAGAACGTAAAATGTTGTATGAAAATGAAACAGAGATTTATAATCATTCGAAGGATATAAATCTATAGTTAGTAGTTACTAATATTAAAAAGAAAAAAGACTTGCATATTTGTATGTATTGAAATAACTCAAAAACTATTGGGCCGATTTCAAAATACTTTCACCATTAAAAAGCTACGTTATCAGAAACATAGGCTATATTATTTTCACGCGGAACAAGTCGCGAGCAACAGCTAGTGTATAAATATAATGACGAATCAATAGTCAGTTCTTAATTAAACTCATAATAACCTTAAACACACCTAAAATATTGATCACCACTAATGACTTCCAATACTACGTAAATGCACTAAAATCGTCCAACAAAAACGCCATTTTGTAATGATATCTATTTAATTAAGTGATTCGCGATATTAATTCGATTATTACTCCTCGTAAAAAAGTTACAAAACAGACTTTTGGCTCGTAAACGACACTCCGTCACGCCACTAACGTGACCGCCATAAAGCAATTTGGATTTTATCGTTCAGTAATAGAGATTACATTGCTTTATCGCCACAATCCTCTAATTACAGCCACGCGTTAAACACGCTATATCCTTAATACCGGAAAATCACTCTTAAAAGTAAACACTTAAAATACATTTTTAATCCGAATGCAAAAAAAGCCGTAATTACTCTTGAGGTTTTGTTTCAAAGGAATTAGAATACTAAAACAAAGAGTTTACGTGTCATTTTAGATTGTTTGTAACAACGCCATCTACCGAATTGTAATGTCGAAACGGTTTGTTGTTGAATCTTAATTTAATTAAATTGGTATCGTAGTTATCGTGCAGATCGCACGCGCCTAAAAGTGTTGCCACGCTCCGATTGTCCCCCGCTTCGTGGGGATTTAAACTCGTGTCATTATCAACTGTCTTTTAATTATTGAAATGGCAGTAAACGTTTTTTTAGACTTTAGGTCTTCTTTGACATGTAAGAATATGAGTTTAACAATAAGACAGTCAAGTAGAAGATATTATGATATTTCTATTATTTTAATCTTACTAATATTAGAAATGCAAAAGTTTAGATGGATGGATGTTTGTAAAAGTTTGTAGCCTAAACTGCGGATCGGATGTCGATGAAATTTGGCATAGATGTAGAGGATAGTTTAAACCACATGGACTATTTGCTTTTGCTTTTTAATTCTACGCAGACGGAGTCACGGGCGAAAGCTAGTTATAAAGCATTGTCCAATCTACCAGCATGTTACGTATTCGCGACTATGCTGTTCCAGAATAAAAAAAATATTTCATAGAAGTTACATTTGCGTGGCCGGCAAAACGAAAAGCGTAATTAAATAAACTTAGGGTGAGTTGCATCAAATCGCTGGTTATCGTAAAAGTTATAATAGGGTTACAAGTGCAAAAACATACTCTCACAGAGGTTTT